ATTAAACAGGAAAAAATCTTTTGGGGAAAAAAACTTTATGGAAAAGGCATAAATGCCATGAAAGTATTCTTGATGTAACTCCTAGGGCCTCTCCCAAAGTAACCAAGCAGTCAACCTGTGTGATTTTTCCCTGTGTGTAGTAGCAAGGCCTCCAGAAAGCAGGTGAGAAAGACCACAGAGAAGTCCAGTCCAGTCTACCTCTACACCATGAAAGAAGGTAGGCAGGACAGAGGGAGGGAGAAGAACTCCTGAAGCAGGGAGAACCAGTAGGTTCCGGGTAGGAAGAGAATAAGGCCAGATCGGAGTCAATGCAGACCCTTTTTTTTCTTTCCATGGCAGAATATTACATGAGATACACTTTGAAGGTCAATAATTATGTACAGAGTATTCTGTAGTGACATCCAGAAAAGTCATTAGATTGCTGTGTGAAGCCGCATGGTGCCCTGCATACACACAGCCGCATGGGTGACAGTGTTGTTACAACGGCAAAGCCCTGCTACAATTTGGGCTGGGTACAGCCTTCTGGTCTCTGCTTTGTCATGACTTGCTCTTCTTTACAGGAGCTACTGAGAAATCACTCTGGCTACTTCTGTGTAGTGAATATTCCTTTAGACTGACACAAGATAATGTAGGACCCACATGTAAAAAGCCACTGGGGAGTGGGATGTTACTTTCTATGTTAACTTATCATATAGGGTCTTACTTACTGTAATACATATGGTGTGGGAAGAAGCCCAGATTTCAGGGGCTGCTCGGAGCCTGTAATGCTATGAGGCTGATGTCTGATATGATGAACTTGACTTTTATAACTTAACTGAGTATGGTTAATTACAATCCAGGAGGACCCATTTGTCAACTAGATGACTATTGTATAGTGTTTGGTTATAATCTTATAAGCTACTCTTGTTCTTACAACAACATTTCAGGCTGTCTCAGATTAAGGAAAAATATCCTGACATTTTTTATATCATGCCTATGAATGTCAAGACATCCAGTCGTACAGTTTCTCTGTAATGGATGGGGGAAGAGGGGACAGGCCTTCATCATCTTACTAGACCTGGTTTCATTCCTGCCTAGCTTCCAGAAAGGATCTGAAGAAGGAACTAGCAGCATAACACCATTGTCATTGCCATAGCTCTTTCATTTCCAGAACTGAATCTACACCTGCAAACTTAGAGGAAAGGGTACAAACATAGGCAGTGATGAAACTGGGTCCTCTAAAGGTCTTCAAGTGCAATCATTCAGAGTGTCTCCTTTGAATAGTATTTTAGAGTGAATAGGGATTTCTTTAGAAACACCTATTTCTAATTGTGTCTATTCCTATGAGCCCTGGAACAGACCACACATACACACACACACACACACACCCTAGTAAACAGAACTATAACCTAAGATTTTTGATTTATTATATAATTTAATGTTTCTTAATACTTTATTGACTTTTTGGGAGTGTCCTAACTGATTTTTAGCTTTATAATATTCATTTAAAATTTTAATAACAATAATGTAAATACTTTAGAAATTCTGTGCTATATGTTTATGAATTTCATGTTACATGATTTTTAACTACATAGGAGGGTTAACTCATTTAAATATTGAAATATTGCAAAGTTTTGTTTTTAAATATGTTCTGTGGATTTTAGTTTCCTATTTATTTTATTAATTTGTGCCAAACTTTGCCTGAAAATGACACATACAATTTTAAAAACAATTTTAGATTCAACATATGAGCTATAATCTATCACATGCTGTGTGTCAGGTCTATCCTAAATAGTTTACACTCTCTCAGAAATCCTAAGGCATCATTATTATATCCCTATTAATAAAATGTTATACACCTAAGTTTTAGACAGGTAAGGAGCTTTTGCCTGATGTGTGCATGAGGTGCAAACTTGGGTCTGAACCTACTATTTTTCACCCTACACCATCTGCAAGTATCTTGTGTATTCCTTTGGATAGGGAGATGTGACCTGAAAAGCATCTCAAGAGTGACTTTTTGGGGATGGTGATGGCGGTTAGCATTTGAGCTGTCTGTGTTACAGATGAACAGTAGATGGACAAGAGGTCTGGCCGTGGTAGACAGACTACAGAACTGGCCATGGTAGACAGACTGACTAGAGGACTGGCCATAGTAGACAGACTGACTTGAGGGAAGGCCATGGTAGACAGACTAGAGGGCTGGCCATAGTAGACAGACTAGAAGGATGGCCATGGTAGACAGACTAGAGGGCTGGCCATGGTAGATAGACTAGAAGGATGGCCATGGTAGACAGACTGACTAGAGAGCTGACCATGGTAGACAGACTAGAGGGATGTCTATTACTACAGTACATGTAGATTCTATCCAAAGGGTTTTATTATCTAGAGAAAAAAAAATAAAACAAAACCTTCAAGGCTCACTTGTAGAAAGGTCAGTCTTGAGTATCTTGAGAATGGTTTTATACATTGAAGAGAATAATAAGAAAGTAAAAATTGTGCAATTTGACCCCTAGGGCCCTACAAAACAATTGTCTCCCCAACACGATCCCCAGGATGGGCCCTGGGGAGTGGAACGGGCACTTGCTCCTGGAGATTGACCGAGCCTATCAGGGAGTGCTGGAGTGCATGGCCCCACAGCCAAGAACCAGGTCAGGAGTTTCAGGGTTCCTCCAGCACCTGACAGTCCCCAGCTGCCTGTTCCTTCCTGTTTCTCCCCACGCTGACAGGAGGGATTTTCTGTTCTCTTTAATGTTTATACAGAACCTCCCACCTTGGCTCCATGTTACTCCTTTACCAGTCACAACTCCCAGAGATGCTCAGAGGGGAGGAAAAAACTGGACTGAACTGAATTTTAAACTAGTGTAAAGCAGGGTCTCGTTCCTGCTTCTGGCTTAGGATCAATACACAGCTGCATAGCCAGACAGCTTCTGCTCCTACCTCCTTCTCTGTAGAACAGAAAGAACTATAATGTCGCTTCGTGGACATGTTTCAAGTGACAAGATCAAAATAACCTTGTTCCACATCACATGTGTGAATGGCAAACACTAAGGACTAGCTCACTGAGCAGTCATTTGTTTAAGGTTGTTCACAGCAGTTTCCATGGTGAATCCATGTATGAACACACCTCAATAAGAAAATGCAGTAGGTTTGTGTCTCTATAGCTACAATTGTCCTCTGGGGCCCTTTCTTTCTTTCATTTAAAAGATTTGTTTACTTTTATTCTCTCTCTCTCTCTCTCTCTCTCTCTCTCTCTCTCTCTCTGTGTGTGTGTGTGTGTGTGTGTGTGTGTGTGTGATTGCCTGAGTGTATGTATGTACATATGTGTGTGCCTGGCACCCATGGTGATCAGAAGAGGGGATCAGATCCCCTGTAACTAGAGTCAGAGATGGTTTTCATCTGCCCAATGTGAATGTTAGGAAACAAAACTTGTGCCCTTTACAAGAGCAGCAAGTGCTCTTAATGGCCGAGCCACCTCTCCATCACCACTGGAACTTTCTCAAGAAACAAAACTCTCCTTCAACTTCAAAGGTTGGTCAGATGGAAGCCCAAAGGGACCCTAAATGCAACAAGTCTGCACAAGTCTGTTCTAAGAGTCCCCTATGCAAATCCAGTTCTTCCTATGAAATACAGATGAAACGATCAAAACTAAGTCAACTCCATCAAATGCTCGGACCTCAGCCCTGTGCTAACTTTCCACCCTCCCTCTGTGTGTCTTCCTTTTCCTCTCCTGTGTCCCTGATTGATGTGTTGCCTAAAGGAGCTGGTGATTTCACTCAAGAGAGATGAAAACTATACATCTATACTTGGCCCAGCTCCCAACAGATGTCATGTGATTCATAAGCAAAGGCAGCAGTGGTCAATAAAATGTGGTAACATGGTTATCCAAAGAACCTTCCAGCTCTCCCTCCACCCCTCTCCCATCCCTACTCACCCCGGGAGTCCATCTGCAGCAGAAAATGTGAAGGCACTAGGACCAGAGAGCCCCTTCCTGCTACTCGCTTGAGAAACAAAGCCTTCCCTCCTCCCAAGTTGAAAGAAATAAAGGAGAGTGGAGTAATGGAAGCCTGCTGGTGTAGCTTCAGCTTGTCAGTGACGAGACTCAACGGAGATAGTAACGGCTCCGAGCTTTGCAGAAAATTGATAGAGGGAGAGAAATGAAAACAGAAACAAAGAGAGAAAGAAAGGCATTAACCTGGCCAGGAGTCAAACAGGTGCTTGGGGCCCAAATGCTGACACAAGATGACTTGAGATACAGTGGCTGTGTGCCCCTGTGGAGTCATATCTGATTATTAATGTGAGCAGTGTGTACCTCAGAGTGAGTGGACAGACTTTTCCCCCTTATTTATAGGACTCATATGGTCGGATAAGGGTCTTTAGCTTCACTCTACGTGTCTGTTGGAGTCTTTACTGAAACTTTCTGGCTCCCGCTGCTAAATTCTCTGGATGGAGGTGGCCAGGTCATTTCAGACGTACACTTCCACTGATTCACAAGCTTTGGGTGTCTTTGGAGGGAGGGATTCCTGACTACTGGGACTGCCACACAAAGTGACAGTATGACTTAGTCTTGATGCTGCCTTCCAAAACTCCCCTGGGGCCTCCCTGTGCTGTGAATGACTAGGTCTCATAAGTGTCCTAATCTTGGAGCCCAGGCAAAAGAAACAGAGGGTAGTGTCATCAGTCTGTACTTTGGCTTATTAGCAAAGGAAGGCCTGGTATGTGACCTATGGGAGAAGGCTGTAGTTGTAAGACAGCACCCTTCAACTGGGATACAATTCATCAGGACACTAACTGGGTAGCATAAAGGTTATCTTAAGGAAAGTATGCCATCTCTGGTGGATTTTCATCTCTTGAATTAAAAATCTTCAAGTGTTTGGTAGCCCTGTAAATTCGGAAAACCTGGTGCCTAATGTCACATGCCTCCAATAGACAGTGACTTTGAGCATAGATAAGCCAGGCTGGTTCCATCACCCCACCCCCACCCCTGTGCAGAAGTGGGCTTCTAGTTAAAGGTTTGTCTTTACCTGAAATGCGCCTGGGCACGTCGGTGATGGCGGGTAGCCCAGTGCCCCGTGTGGAAGACAGCGGCGTGGTAGAGTGGATGGATGGGGATGTCATCTGGCTCAGGTATGAGGGGTAAGACTGGTCGTAGGACCACGGTGGGGAAGATTGTGCCTGCCTGGGATCTGGGGGAGGAAAAAGATGAAAAGCAAAAGCAGTTCAGTATTCTAGCTACTGTAGCCTTGAAAACATGCAGCTCAGAATGTAGACACAGCACAGAAGAAAAAAATGAGACTACAAAATAAATAATAGTAATAAATATCTCCCACGGCCTCTCCCTCTCAGGCCTCAAATAGCCCCAAGCTCTCTAGACTTGATGTCTCAATGAACGCGACAAAATGGGTGTGCATAAGGTCCATTTGTCTCTCTTATGCATAAATATTTCTATTTGGAAAGTCCAGTGGCCGTTTAGAAAACAATCCAATTTGCTTATTTTACTAAGTGGAATTTATTTTATTTATTCTCTGTATTTTCTAAAATTCCTTTCCTGAACACGTTATTTAAATCACATTTTTCTATCAATTAATTTTGCAGAAAGATGTAGACTACTCCTTTAACTGCTGTTTATCTGGCTGCCATGCATCAATAGTGCTTTGTTGCTCCTGAAGTATATGATTCTGTGCTTCTCTTACAGTGGGCTTTCTCTCTGGGAGGGTCAATGGAATGGCATTTTCTAACTGGGGTGTAAGGGAGGAGGGAGCAGGGGACAAGGATGGGGGTGAAAATGAAGGAGCACACTAGCTAGAAAGGAAGCAAGTGGAATACATTATCACATAATAAAGCTAAAACAAAAAATAACCTTTGAGAAAAGACAAAAGTCAATTTTAATACCACCTGTGATTGAATATTGAAAAGCTTCACTACCATTCAGGCTCAATGTCAAACACAAGAGTTCCTAGTGGCAGGAAGATGACCCCAACCAGGAAAACATTTTAATCCCACTAAGATCTGTTTTAAAAGTGTCATGTGTTAGGACTGTGACTTTGTGTTCCCTGTAGTCCCTGACAATAAAAACTGTGGGTGGAAAACTTCTCAAGGTTAATTGGCGAGACCTGACAAAGTCTATGATGTTTTTGATGTATCTCCTTAGGGTTTCTGAAAGGTAGAAGCTCCAAACTAAGTAGTTTAATAAAAGGCCATCCATTTGGATAAGAAAAGAGAAGGCAAATTTGTTTTGTCTTCCCTTCAAGCCTGTACCACCTGGTATTCCCAAGGGATCATCCATTCAAGTACTAAGTAGGCCCAGCCCCACTTAGCCTCCTGGATCACGTGAGGCTGGGTGTGTTCAGGGTGGTTTGGGCAGAGATGAAATGGTAAACTTGTTACTGTTTCAATCTTCCTCAAAAGCTAACAGAATCATAAGCAAAGTTCAACTAATTAATTTTAAATGCTAACTTCAATTGTTTATGCTAATAGCTCTTACCAGCTATAATTTGAATACAGATGGTCTGGAATGCTCACACCTAGGTCAGAATTACCTCTGAGATATCCACTCTCTCCATGGCCTTAGTCACACAGACCCTGGGCTTCCTCAGCCACAAAGGGACTCTTTCAATAACCTGATCACAGGATTAAGAGAGCACTATGACAGACTTTCAGTACAGAGCCATCCCTTTCTAAAGATTAATTACATGTGTATGTCTTTGTGTGCATGTGCACATGAGTGCAGGTGCCTGCAGGGGCCGATAGAGGGCACTGGATCCCCTAGAGCCAGATTTACAGGCAGTTCGGAGCCATTCACTGTATCTGCTGGGAACTGAACTCCTGCACCTCTGGAAGTGCAGTATGTAACCCCAATCTTTGAGCCATCTCCCCAGTCCTCCTTCTTACATTCTTATCTTAAAACAGAACAAACAAATAACAATATATTTTTCATAACAAATTGTTTGTTCCATACTTAAAACATTCTCCCATTGACTATTATTGTTTGAAAATTAACAGCTTAACTTGAAAAAAAAAAGTATCTGAGCAGTCAATTCAGGTTTATTTCTCCAAGTAAAAATGAGTACATAGTAAGACTTGGATTTTACCTACACTGTTTACTCTTTTAAAGCCTCTAGGTTTTTTTCCTATGCAGTCGAAGCTGTTGAGTTTCAGCTATTTCTTGTTTATTTGTTCAGTTTGGAAACAATTTATTTAAAGACTATCTAAATAGGACATACTTCCTTGAGTAGAAATAATTAAATACATCTGGATATTTATCTGATGTTTTCTGACATTAATAGATATGGGGGGGCACCTGATTCAAGTTTAAGGACCATTTACCTGAGTTTGGGATTCAAGAGAAGGATGAGAGTGTATTAGCATACACTTTCCTTCAGAAATCTGAAAGATACTTGATGATTAAAAATAATGAATTACTATGCTTTAAAACTCTCCGTGTTGAGACTGTACAGATTGGCAGCATTTCAACTCTGAGTGACTGGTCCTTGTTATCCTCAGATACTGATATATCCCTAGCCTTCCGCCACAAATGTAAGTTACTATTTAGAGCAATGGGAAATCATCTTCAGATGGAGAGGGGTTCATTCCTTACAGAGCAGGAAAACTGTCTCGTAAAAGCGAGAGGCTGGACTCGATCGAGCACATTCTCAACAGATGAAAGAGACAACCACGGCACAGCTACGAAAGGGGGTTGGTTCTATGGGAATAAAATCTGGATTTGCATAGTCCAGATTTAGCTGCTCCAGACAACTTTCTTAACAAGTAGTTTGATCTTTGCATCTAGTCCTCAAATGCAACAACATGTCAGTGGGGGTACTCCACCTTGCCTAAACTGGGGGAAATCACAACGAAATGCCAGGAATGACTGTAATGGTTAAACATATCATAAGGGTTGTAACACACAGCCTTAGTCATTCGTTTCGTGCAGAGTGACAGTCTAGCACAGTGGTAAATGAACAGGCCTTCCAATGAGAGAATGAGGGCTCGAGGGCCACCCTACTCTTTATAAGCTGTTGACATCACCTTGGTGAGCAAACTCTTGAGCCTTCAATTCCCTCAGCTGGAACATGAGGCTGCATAGCATGCCAAAGCAACTGTGGCCAAGTAGCTATACCCATTGGCCATGAAGACAGACTGAGGCTAGCTTTACAGCTGCCCACTGTGTTGAGTAGGTCACTTAAACTCTTTGCACCAGTGGTTTATTTGTGAAATGGTAATAATGATCTTGATTGGGTTTTCATGAGTGCGACATGAACTATGCCAGATCTGATAACTCATCTGCCTCTCACAGTACCTATTAAGTAGATAAGAAAAGAGGTGTCATCTGTAAAATGAATACAATAATAACTACTGTTGTGTTTGGGAAACTGGATGAAAACAAAGCATTTGATAAGTTCTACGATCTTTGTCTAAATCATTATTGGGCTTTGTTAAAATCATTATTGCCCATTGAGAACCTCACATGGGCAGGTTCAACCTTATGACCTGGAAGGTTTCACTTAGAGCTGCTGATTTTAAATGAAGCTGGTAATATCATCCCCAAGTTAGTCCCTCACAGCTAAAATCAAATAATACACAGTGCGTGACAAGTCAGCATTATTATTCAAAGAAATAAAAATCTGGTTCCATACTATCTCTGGACTATCTTTGTGTGTGTGCAGCAGCTATTAAACATTTCTGAGGTCAGATGGCATAATTAAATATAGTCCTTGAGGAGACAAGCTACTCAACAATGAACTTCCAGGTGACTTGAATAAATACCAGCATAATAAAATGACATAATCAGTCTAATTCTCTCGTAAGCTATGAAAGAGTTATTATATCAAGGAAGTTTTACATAAAATTTCTTCCTGCCAAATATTAACTTGAATAGTCTGATGAAGACAACTTTGCTTTTAGTAGAGACCTTTCCCAAAGATGTTCTCAGTAACAGTGGACAAAGGGAGAGTACTCTGTACTTCGTCTCCCAGAGGGTTGGCTGATGCCCAGCCACTCTCTTTCAAGGTCCTCATCCTAAGACTGTATGACAATGGTGGAGGGCGGTAAAATAAGCTATAAGAAGTACCATAGTGTGTGCACTAGATCAGGTAAGAGGGACAATAACCTTAAATTGAAAGAGAGTGGTCTGAAGACCCCAGGCCTTACCTAACACTCGGTGAATGAGCAAACAGACCATGAATCTCACAGACACCATTTCTGGGCCACAGACTGGACAAGGACACCCTGTCTAAGCTTCCATTGCATCAGCAATATAGCCAGAAATAAAACCTCTTCCTCCTAAGCATGTGAAGACTGAGTGAAAGTGTAACCAGCTTAGCGTGAGGCCAGGCTGCCTCTGTGCCCATCACACAGATGTCAGAAACTGACCATCTTTAGCCTGGAGCCTGTTTCTTCTTGGATTCGGTTTCACCTCCAAAAGTGAAATCCCTACCTTTTCAAATGATACATCCTCCAACTTTCCAGTCTTGCAGTGAGAGGGAAAGGACTAAAATATCTTAGTTTCCTAAGAACATATAATCCTAACTAACTAAATATATGGTTACAATGTGTGTGTGTGTGTGTGTGTGTGTGTGTGTGTGAGAGAGAGAGAGAGAGAGAGAGAGAGAGAGAGAGAGAGAGAGAGAGAGAGAGAGAGAGAGAGAGAGAGAGAGAGAGAGAGAGAGAGAGAGAGAGAGAGAAAGAGAGAGAGAGAGCTGAGATTTACTCTGAACTCAATGAGTCAGAGCAGGTATCTCTAACGTCGCCACTGAGGGCCCAGCTCTGCAACATACATTCGGGTTAGCCAAGAATTAACCAGAAACTCTTATCAGCTCAACTCTAGGCCCCTTTGCTTAGTCCCACTGGGGCTACATGGTGTGGCTTGTCTTTCTAGAAACATGAGGCGAGCATCAGGAACTGTGACTCTAAACCAAGAATAGTCTTGATTTTGATGTCCCAAAACATGAAAGTATCAAGTGTGACCTGGAGATTACATCCTAGGGGACCAGCAACGACACAAAAGCATCTACAATCTCTCGCAGATGTCAAAAGACAAGCCTGGTGCTGATCATTTTAAAAATTATTTTTAAAGATTTATCTTTTTTATTTTCATGTGTGTCGGTGTTTTGCCTGTGTGTGTGTATGTGCAGGCGAAATGTGTGTAGTCCCCAAGGTGGTGCTGGCTCCCTGGAACTGGAGTAAC